ATTGTTACAAGCTTAGTTGTTTGGATGGAGTGGCTTGAACAAATTTAAGCTTGAATTTGGGTATCTTGAAGTTAGGGGAATTGATAAATTGAAAGATTTAGCTCAGAAGTTGTTAAAATGAAGCTATTGTTAGTTGGTTGTGGCTTCAAATAGTTCAATGATAAAAATTAGGAGTTCTGGGTAGCTAAAGTTAATAAATTTAGCTAATGAGTATTTATATTAAGTTAGAAAATTAACATATAATATTTATGTCATAGATTTTGGTCATGTGGAACCTCTCTAAGGTTGAAGGAACCATTGGAGCAACCAAAGTGCCACAGGTAACCCTTTTGTGTTAAAAAAGTTGAGGTAATCGGATGATTTATACTGTTTATTATCTCGTGGAATCGTTTACAAGTTATTTGTGAAATATGGTGAAATTATGTATATGCATGATTTAGAACTTGTAAAGTAAGAAAGGAAAGTGAATTTTGGAAAATACGAATGTGTTAACAGTTGTGTTTTAATTAAAAGTTTAATATGATAACGAATGTATGATGATTGCATTATTTATAAATCATGATAGTAAGGGTGGGAGTTCATCCTTGGTGAAGCAATGTTTGAAATCCATATGATTGGGCTAGTACCACAGGTCATTTAATGTAATAAACATGTTATAGATTGTTACCATAGGAAATCCAAGTAGTCATAATACACCCTCCTTAGTACATGAGAGGTTATGTCATTGGAGCAAATAACACCCTAATTATGCATAATAAGGGGAGTCCATAGTTTGAAAGTAAGTTAGCATGTCTTTTGCCCGACAATTCTTCCATAGAAGGTGAGCTCGAATTAGACTATTTAATTTGGTCTAATTTTGTAGCCTATAGACTCAGTTGGAACATGTTGTGGAGGTTTAATGGATATTATGATCATGCTTGTGATAATATTATTATATATTGTATAACATGTGTTTTGCTATCTTACTTTATATACTTATTTATAGTTTTACTTGCTAATGAATGACAATGAATTATTTTGATTATTGAGACTCTGTCTCATTTCATGATTACTATTTTTTAAATTTGGAGGCAGATAAGAAGCAAAGGAAAGGGACGGGCAAAGAATAGATGGTTATCATTTTGTAATGCCTTGTTTATTGAGTTTTGTGTATATGGATGTAAATATAAGTGTCTCGTTGCCAATTAAAGATGCATATTATTTTTGGTTTGTACTTGTATGAATTTATGCTATGATATATTTTAGCCCGAGATGTATGATTGTGATAGATGTGGTGATGGGGCTGAATTATTAATACAAGTGCATGTATAGTATAAATATGATGCAGAATTCTGAACTACACTTGTATGCTGTGTGATTTTGTGGTATTTTATCTTAGAGAGAATGTTTGGTGAAACATTGGGAAAATAGGCTGAAATATGGATATAAGTATATATTGATCAGAAATATAAGTGATATGGTGTAATGATGTGGCCAAGTAGTGATTATACTTGAATACAGTGAGAATGGCCCTATTTTGGGTGAAATTGAGGTCTTAAGTGACCAAATCTTGAATTTGATGTGTTATAGTGTAATTAATTGTAAATCAAGTGTGTTTTGGTCCTTTAGATGTGATTTGAGCCCCATTTTAGGTTAATGACATAAGGTTTGAGTTTGGGTACATGGATATATGAAATCTGCTTTTAAAATTGTCATTTGGGATCAGCATATTCAATTTTCCAATGCGATATCAAATTGAAATAAAATTTATGCTATTAGTTAGATTATCAAACAAGTTTCATATGGGTATTTGAATCACTTCAATTGAATGTTGAATGTGAATATGGCACTTGTAGAAAGTTTGCCCAACAAGATATCATGAAAAGCCATGTGGTCACAATGCATGATGACACGCTGTGATGCATAGTATAGAGCTAGAACATGTTTCTTTGCGCCACATGCCATAGCATATGGACTTGCTTGGACCAAAGTGACCTTTTTGGCTCTATTTCTCTTATGTTATGGTTTTAAGCTCTTCCTTGCTTCTATTGCTTATATATACACCTATTGTTAAACTCAAACATGTTTTCGAAGGATTTTTGAGATCATAATTGTTTTCAAAACTTTACAATTAAATTTTTAACCCTTCTTAATTAAGGTAACTTTAGGGGTTTAAGGCCCCTGAGATACTTGAGCGCCTTTTTCTGTATTGTGATTGGGTCAAGCGTGCGTGGTTTGGGGGCTTGCTTGGTTTGCATATTAATTCCTAACCTACTTGTTGTATGATCTGTTATGTGAGAATTCTCCGTTTGATGCCTATGGCTATGGTAAGGCCTATATAGTCTGGTTCTGTTGGATTATATGGAAATTCATATGAAGAATGGTTTTTGATAGGGATCCACCAGACGCGTGGAAAGTCATTATGGCCTCACATGCTGAATTAAAAAAAAAAAAAAAATCATCTGTTAAGGGACTTCTTCCAACAAATTCTAACTCTGATGTAATTAACGAGTCTGCTGATTCACCTTAGTTGAAACCACCCACTAGAAGTGAGGAAGTTAATTGTGATGGGGCTTATAGACCTTGGGATGGTAATGCAGCCATTGGTGTTGTGGTGCGCGACGCTAATAGGCCTATAGTCGCTAGATGGTCGGATGAGGTGAGAGCAGATTCAGGTTTTTTTATCTGAATTATATGCTGCTAGAAATAGAAGGGCGCTACAGATTGCTGCATCCTGGGCCAATATACTGACTCTAGTGTTCTCTTTAAATGCTGCTCTAATGGATCATTATCTTATCGAACTCTCTTGAGTGATATACTGGGCATGACTGAATCCTTTGAGAATCTTTCTTTTTCTCTCATCTCTGATAGAAGGAATCAAGCTGCTGACTCGTTAGCAAGTTTTGCTTTAAAGGAGTTGGAACCTTTGGGTTGGGTGTCTCTACCACCACCACCACCTCCACCTCATCTTATTCTCAAGGACTTGGGAATGCAACAAATCTGTGTTGGCTTGATTGGTTTTTGTTTTGTCTGTCTTTTATTTAGCTATTTCTTCTTATGTTTTGTAGTTCGTTTATTTTTGTTGAACTTGAGGCATTGTCCTCTCATATCTGTTTATTACTTTGAATGAAAGAATCATTTCAGGCCCCCCAAATTTTTTTTTTAAAGGCATATATAATAATTTGGCAAGAATTTATTGTTATTTTATTTTTAAAATATGAATTTTTAAATGTTTATGTATTAATTTTATGTTATTTTATTGTGTGAACAATGCCAATGAATCCATTTCCCCCCTTCAGGTGATGATGACAATGAATCTTTCAATGTAACTCTTTCATCATCATCATCATCATTTCATGTCAAAGAAAATCACAACGTGCAAGCATAAGATACAAACGTAGACAAACAGTTATCATCATTCAGAACTATTGCTGGGGATTTTTTTTTTTCCTTTGGAATGAAATGAAATGGAAAAAAATGGCTACAAGCATAGCGTTTTTTTTTTTTTTTTTTTCGGAACGCTAACCTTTTTATGGAATGAAAAGCGTTATACCCTGAAGGCACCGACAATAAAACACGCACTTTTTTCGAACTTCAATTAATCTCATTCTCTCAAGTTGGTTGAATAAGACTCCATTCAAATGTTGATGGAATGAGAAGGCTTTACTTGTTATTCTCAAGATTTATTGAATTTAATTTAAAAACTCATAATTTATTCCCAAAAAAAAAAAAACTGACAGGGAGGTCCACATGTGCATATTTAATCCTATTCAAGAATGCATCTGAACTCTGAGGTCTAAGGTAGTTTATTGCTACAATGCAACTCCCACCCCTCATTATTCTGTCTATTACATTGTTATAATGCAGTAAATGTTTTCTGTACCCTGTTGAAATAATACATATGTGCTGTAGGATCCAACATGAAAATCAAGCGTTGCCCACACCTACTAATCTATTTTTCTTAGACAATATGATACCCTATTTATAGTAAGAATTTTCTAAAACTCATCCAAACCAATTACATCAAAACCAAATTGATATAAATCAATCAAAATTAATTATAAATAAGATTTATTCTGTTTTTTAATAAAACTAATCAACTTGGTTTGATTCCTGTTCTTGCCACTTGAAACTTAAATCAAATTGAATCAAGTTTTGTTATATTCCCTCTGTTCAAAAATATAAAACATTTTTTAAGAAATTAAATATTAAAAAATGTAAGGCATTTTTAATCTTTTGAGATGTAATTATTATTTTTTTTTAAAGTGCTCTTATTGATAATGACTTTATATTTATTATAGAGTGTTTAATAGAGATAAATACAAAAAGATAAGGTTAGTTTGAAAGTAAGTAAATACTTAATTGAGGGCGAAATTCGACTAAAAATGCCTTACATTTTTAAATGAAGGAAGAATTTATTTTATATATATATATATATATACATATAAGTTTGCCTATCTTCCTCAAATTTGATTATTTGTAAATCACTAATAAAAAATATGTTACAATGAGCAAAATATTGTCTATAATTATTTATAATATTTTTTAAATTTAATAATCAAGTTTTTAAAGATAACATATTATTTTTTGTAATTAAATTTTCTAATTAATTGTTAAAAACATTCTTTCATCCTAGAGATTTTTTTGTCCAATGAATGTTTATATAAATTGATTATGAAAAATATCCCATGAAAAAAATTTAGACTTGATATAAATCTAAATCAAATCGAATTATATTGCTTAAAAAAAATTGATTAGAGAAAAAAAAAACTAAATTGGTCCTAAATTTAGATAAACCAATTGGTTTGATTTAGTTTAGTTTTTTTTTTTTCAATAAAAGAAGATTCCACTTTCCTACCAAAAAAAAAAAAAAAGATTCAACTTTGTTCTCCCAAGATTATGTGGAAAATTAGGATGGAAAACTAACAAAACGTGATCGCTAGAGTGTATTAGTAGAGAAAAACAGATGTTACTGGCATATATTTTAGGACAAAAGATAAAAACAAATGTTACACAACAGCTGAGGAAGGAAATTGGAATGACTAAATCATATATTAGTGATAACCTCACAAAACATTGTAGCACCTTTTGTCCTTTTTTTTTTTTTGGCCAGACAGTACCTTTTGTCCTTAATACTGATATTTTAAAAAAAATTCTTTTGGAGTAATTAGTCTCTGAGTCCCTAACTAAGTCTAAAACTTCACTTCATAATGATGCAGTGATCGATCCCAATCCTAACAAGTGATGGAGAATGAGATCATGAACCTCTCCATCTCCTCCACCAGAAAGGAGTTCTTGAATTCTGTGATGGAGGCGGTGTAAGGAGATCAAGCATGGTTTGCTTTTCTTTTGGGGTCAATGGAACGCCCCTGATAAGGTTCAAAGCCATGATATGAACATTGGTCTTTTTCCTATGCTTGTTGTAAGCCCATACTCCGGCTGCTGCACCTGCAACTAGGACCTATTCCCAGAGAACAAGTTGATTTGAATCAGAGCAAATATGAATCAGATTGAAATAAGTTACAAATTCAAAGTGTTCTCAATCCTCCTGATAAAACTTACAGGGGATAGCCATAAAGCTGCAGTCTGCAAATCAAACTTTGGTGCATAGAGTACAGTCTCTCCAAAATCTTCCTCAAGCTTTTTGTAGATCTCCTTGTCAGTCTTTCCACTACGAATCTCGTCACGAATTAACTGCAAATCAGTACAAATAATAATGATTACTATATGTCTAAAAGGCTTGCTGCAGAAAGCTATTGGTATTCATGGTTGAATAATTACATTATAGAAAAATTTGTGCAGAAAAAGCAAAAAAAAAAAAAAAAAAAAAAAGCGCAACAAAATTGGCAAGCAACTTCAAAAACTTGATCAACCTGGATTCAAGCACAATAAATCAGTTATCAAGACTTTGATTTTCTCAACAAGTCCGGCTTATTCTGTTTGATCTTTCCTAACTTCACTAACCCAAGGCCCAAATCCATCAATTTATCTCGATATTGCCCAGAGCTAGCTTCTAAAGGATTATAACATGAGTAATTGCCTTAAAGGCTTAAACTAAGGGTGAAAAAGGGGAAATAAGAAGAAATCTTAGCAAAATAAGAGGCATTCAGGGAAGAAGATGATGGTAGGGGGAGGGGAGCCTATCTTATTTTCTCAAAAAACAAGCATACGTTTTTTTCATGGTAAGAAATATGGAAAGAATTTTAAATTAAACATTAGCACGAAAGAACCAATAAAGTGAGAAAGAACAACTAGATAACAAAGATTGAATGCGAGCTTCACCTAAAAATAAAAAGATTGACATGCTAAGATAAGGCAAAGCAAATTGACAAGTAATTGAAACAAATAATGAAATAAAAACTCAATTGAGATGTGTTAAATAAAAGCGAAGCTTTCCTGTTACATGTTACTAATAAAGTTGCATTAAAAAAAAAAAACTGAACAATTCCCTAGTAGACTAGCTCATCAAACGTTAAAACTCATGCACTCATTTCTCACAACTTTGATTTTGGAAACAGGCAGATGTTCTAAACATGTAGTTCAAACCATTTAAGTTTATCAATCATGAATAGCTAACAAAAAGACAACCCTGCATAAGATTATTATTATTTAATTCATACCACATATTTAAACTCCCCATGTGGAAACTTATTTAGAAGTTAGTTCTGGTACCTTTCTGAGTAGAATTGCAATGTCTGCTTGAGAATCTTCAATGGATTGACTACCACATTCTGTGCACCTTACATTGTGACTGATGTTTCTTGCCCGGGCATCTACTATCTGGGCCTCTTTTACTGCATCCAACTCGCTCCCCATCGCCAAAAGTAGTCAAACACTATCATTTATATTATCTTGCTAAAAGCAGCTGCAAAATCCATTGAGACATAACAACAAATTGTTTGCATGTTAAAAGTAGGGATAGAAGGAATTTCCTTTCTATCAACACATTGTATCAAAAAGCTAAAAGGCCAGATCAAACAGCCACAATACGTGATAATCAAGCACAATGACTCGGTAAAGCAAATGCAAATTCATGAACAATCAACAACCATTGACAGACCTATATTTCAATGCCCCGACAGAAATCTTTGAAATATGCATAGTTGATATAATACCCTTTTAATTTTTGTTCCAGATAATTAGATAGAGCTCAAGCCAAGTCATTGACAAGATCATACATCACAAATACCTTAAGAATTTTCTAAAATGAAGATAATATAAAGAGATTAATAAACAGAATGCCAATACACTACAAATCCAACATTGCAGAACAACACAATCCAAAGCATACAAGTCGCTAGTAATCAAAATGAAGAGGGAAGAAGTATAATAGCCAATTACACACCATTCAAGCAAAAACTAGTAAAAAAAGAAAGAAAGAAAGAATTAAAATCAATCTGTTTCCCAAATTCAAAAGCGTCAATACTCAAAAGATTGCACGACCAGGTTCAAAGCCAAATTAAAATGAAAAATTTAAAACAAAGCAAGAACGACCAGGGAACAGATTCAAATCGAGATTCAAAGCCACAAATCAATCTCACCGGGTTTTGGGAAAGCCCTAGAGTTCGAAGCTTCTACACTACTTGCCTAAGAACAACCAAGCACGGCTGACAACGGTGGACGGCGTCCGACGGAGTGTGGAGTGCTTGTTGGTCGACGATGAAAAATGAAACCGCTGCTCCTTAATTTGTCGGAGGTTATAATTAACTTAGGGTGAGCTTGGCTTTTGTCCGGACAAATTTGATTTATATATTTTTTTTTTTGGGCCAAACGACAAATTTGATTTATATGATTCATATATGGAATGTAATTGATTGATTATGTTTTGAAGTTTTGACTGATTTTCACTGTAACTGAAAAGCATAGTTAAAAATAAATTACAATTACCAGCAGCCACTTAACTAGTGAAGCGTTATGCTAATTTAAGTAGTCTTTTTTTTTTTTTGGCCAGTGAATTTAAATAGCGATTTTAAATTCGAATTCTTAACATGCGGTTAGGTTAAAAATTTGTTGGAAAAGTTTTGTCATTAATATGGTCCTCCTCTTGGCCCAAAAAAAAAAAAATTATGGTCCTCCTTAACTCGAAGCTCATAAATAAATAATAAAAATTCGATTTTGTAAATATATATCTAAAAACTTGGGTTATATCTTAAAATCAATCATGAATTCAAAAATATAATTTTTTTAAAAAAAATCTAAACACTCTTATTACATTAAAATTAATCATGAGTTTAAAATTATGATTTTCTTAAAATTAAACAAAGCTTTATATGTCAAAATTAATTATAAATTCAAAACAATAATTTTTTTAAAAAAATATCCAACATCTTATATGCATGTAAAAATCATTATAATCCCAAACCCATGATGTATAAAATGTGGCAAAAAAAAAAAGGCCATGATGTGTAAAATGAAATTTATATGATTTTTGAATAAGTTTTTAAAAACAAGAATTGTAACTGAGATGTTTGGACTTTGCATACATTATTTTACACTGAATACCAAAAGAAAAATGATAATTATGAATTTTGTAAAGACATGAATAGCATTTGAAAACCTCAAAATATTAAAATAGAAAACATTATTTTTTATTAGTAATTAAAACACTTTTTAATATTGAAATAACTCATGGAAGGAAAGTTGGCTTAGAATTAAAGAAAAATTTGTTGTGATTTGTAGGAAGATTATTTATAAATTCATGAAAAGTTAATTGTGAATAGATACATAATTTTATGAATATATAAATCATTACTTGTGAATTTGAAGATAACTATTTATGAATTTTAAGAAAATTACTTGTGAATTTATAAAAAATTAATTATGAATGGATATTAAAAAATATGAGAGAATCTTTAAATGATTAATTTATAATTAAAACTATTTATATTTATTTACAATTGACATTTTATATATTCACAAGTTATATTCTTTAAATTTATAATTGACTATTTTTAAGTCACAAGTGATATATAAATTTAAAATATTATCTGTTAATTTATAATTAATTTTTCATAAATTGAATAGCAACTTCCATGAAATTTATAATTGGCGATGCATGAATTTATAAAATTATTTATCTATTCATAATTAACTTTTCATTAATTCAAAACTAACTTAAATCAATGAGTCACTTCCATTAATTATTTTAATAATCATTATTATGGTTCTTTCTTGATATTTTAATAAGTTGAGTTCTTTAATTATCATCAATGACTTCATAAAGTTTGCAATTGTCATTTTTCCAAACTGAAAACTTCATTCACAACAAATGATAATCAAATAATTTAGAAGACAATAGTCCCAAAGGATCCCAAGAGTAACTTTCATCATTTTTTTGCTCAAAAAAATTTTCATCATTGAGCATGAAATAATTCATACATTTTTTATTTTTACAAGATCATGTTGATCATATTCTCAGGAAATTTTTCAAAACCTTTCCTTTTTTTTTAAATATTCAATTCTTCCTTACTAAATAGTATAAAAAAAACTTTCATATTAAATAGAGTAAAATATTCCATTAAAAATTTTAAAATAAGGTATCTATGGTTATGCTAAGTTCTTATTTCATTAGTTTTTTTTTACATGCATACTTGAAATAATATTTGAGCCAACTTAGAAGTTTAAATTTTTAAAAATAACCATGCAATAACATGCATACCCTAGAATTTGCAGCAACAATAACAACAATAAATCTTATCCTATTAGAAGGTCAATTATGTGGATTGAATAATGCCAACATGCTCTATCAACAACTAAATACATGGAAATATTGTTAATCCAAAAATTCACTTTCAATAATTTTATTTAGTGTTCTTTTTATTTTTTCTTTATATCTCTTCACAAGACTCAAAATTATCGATTCTACCATTCTCATTGGTGTTTGAACTAGTCTTCTTTGAATATATTCAGACATCTCAAAAAATTTTCAACCATTTTCTCCCACACCAACTTTTTTTTCATTTGCACACACATCCATTTCAACATTTTTATATCTCATACCTCAAATTTATATAGTTATTGCTATTACTTTTTTAAAACCTAATATTTATTACCATATCTCATAATTGGTCTTTTGCGATAAAACTTCCTTTTAATTTTTTGAGGGACAATAAAACTTGTAGCTTTTATTTGTTTAAACCATCCAATTTATATTCTACGTTCAATATTTTCTTTAATTTTTCCATCATTCTATATAATGACTTCCAAATATTTGAACTTGGTATTTACAAAAAAAAAAAAGGAAATAAAAGAAACAAAAACATAAAACTAAACGCTAATTTTCCAAGTGTTCAAAGGGTAAGAGGCTAATAGCTTTACAGCCTAGTGACACGCATGCCCTCTTATAAGTGAAAGGTAGCTGGTTGATTCCGCTTGTAAAGTGAAGTTATTAGTACCTGCCCTATTAATTAAAAATAAAAGAAGAAAAAGGAGAACATAAGGGCACAAAAGCCCAATTGTGCTTCAAGATAGATTTAAGGCTACAACTAGAGAACATGAAAATATTGCTCTTATAGTTATTGTTATTGCTTTTTTAAAGTTTAATACTTACTGTATCTCATAATTAATTTTTCATGATAAAACTTCCTTTTAATCTTTTCAAGAACTTTTCAATCACAAATAAAACTTTTTACTTTTCTTCATTTAAACCACCCAATTTATATTTTCTGTGTAATATTTCTTTTAATTTTCCCATCATTTTGCATAATAACTCCCAAATATTTAAACTTGATATTAAAAAAAAAAGGAAACAAAAACGTAAAAGTGAACGCTACTTTTTCAAGTGTTCAAAGAATAGACGACTAATAGCTTTGTAGCCTAACAGCATGCATACCCTCCTATAAGTGAAAATCCGCTGATTAATTCTACTCGTAAACTTAAGTCATTAGCAGCTACCCTTTTACTTTTTAAAAAAAAAAAAGGAAGAAGAAGAAGATAAGAGCACAAATCCGAACGGTGCTTCTAGATAGATTTAAGGCTGCAGCTAGAGAACCCGAAGAGACTTACACGTTTGATTTCATAACTTCCGTTTGCGTTGTTTGTCAGTGCAAACGTGTCCTGCTGTTATTTAGTGCACGAGTGAGGTTTATGCTACATTATTATATTTATAATTTTTTTTCAATACATCACACGAGCATCTACTATAAACGCATATAACTAAAATTAATAGCATATTAAGATTCCATAATTACATCACCAGTGCTTTAGCCTCCCCGTTTCAACTTGCGGAAGCTACAATCGTTAGGATTATCTTGACTACAAGCCATATGGTTAACTGTTTCCTTCGTGAGAGAAACCAAGATTTTTATCGTACTGAATTAATTATGATCGATAATCATTAAAAGTGAAATAAAATATAAGACTACTAAAAAATTGACGGTCAGTGCAACTTAGTTTTCTCCGAACCAACAGGCACAAGCGTACTTGAGACGTGTCAGACTGAATGCAACTTTTATTGACCTGCACAGAACTTAAAATGCGTGACCAACACCATGCCCAATTCCAATCCCAATCTATGTATCTACCTCACTCGCAGTACTGCACAAAAGCCACTCCAGTGTCTGAAATTTCTTTACAAAGGGTCCAAATGCCTCAATACCTCGTCACCATGCCAAATCACAAGATAGTAAAAAGCCGCGACAAAATCAAAAAACACAAATCAATATCATGACACTCTCACGTACAGAGTCAACCACCCGAGATCGAGGTACATCCAATGACATCAATTAAGCCTTCATGTCAGCCAAATTATATGCTTTACTATTTTAGCCATCATCAATCAAATCTGCGCCATATCAGTGGCTTACATAACATGTATGGCGCAACCATTCTTCAATGAAAGATGGCCATTCTTTTATTCTTCTTTTCTGCTGAAGACCATGGCCACTTTTTCCTACCATGGCCATTTTTTATTAGCACTGTCACACCATCTGCCGTACTGTCATCACAAATAACTCAAATTCAAATGTCATTCTGGCCATTGCAGTCTGCAATGACATTACTATCCAACCCACTACTTTGCTACTTCCATCGTGGTCAGTGTTAGCAGCATCACCTTCTGAGAAGGAACCGTATAGACTGACACTGAAACTGAGACATTGCCACAGAAAAATTAAAAGACTCCATGTATCTATGACGAGTGAATATTGACATGGACCCAAAACTGCGGCAAGGAAACAAGATCTCAAAAATTCATGCACTCTGAGATTATGCATCAAGTTAGGTTTCCACAATATCAGATGGCCATTGCAGATTTGTTGTCCACATGACAATTGAAAAGTAGAAACTAAACCCCAAATATTTAAGACTATATAGAGACAGCTGGGGAAACATAAAATTCAGGATCCTGGTTTCCTAGCCTACTTGAAATCTTTGCTACTGCAAAAATATAACAAAAGCTGCCCAAAAGATGGTACGCCGAAGTAAGAAATGCCATGAGAATGGTGTCAGAGATAATAAGTGAATGGCTAACATTGGGATTAGAATAATTGGTTATCCAGCTAACAATCAGTTAGTCATACAGTTTGACTCAAATTAGTAATGAATGATCGGGCTTGATTTTCTGTATATGGAACGCAATGCACGCAGTCGCGGACCAATATGCATGGAAATAATCCATTCCCCTCCATCTCTGTTTCTTATCACTTGCGTTTTGCTTTAACCTTCAGCCATCAATGCAGTGGTCCTCTGGTTCCATGACAAAACTTGGTTAATCAAAAGAAGGATCACTTGAGACCTAATGGGGCACGAAATCACATGCACAGAAAAGCATAAAGACAAAAGCGGGTCTAATGGATCATACTGACCCTCTTAAGAATTCAAGAGCAAAGACTCGACCCAGTAGAAAGACAAAGCAACTTTCAAACAATAGCAGGACAAGATTTAAGATTTAACATAATCAACTCAATCTAACCAAGAAAAACAGCAAGTGACCTTGCCCATAATTTTTCCAAAATACCCCCAAAATGATGAAACCAAACCTGCTCCATGCTGCAAAAATTAGGAGGCACAAACTGCCATCAGATAGCTCAAAATATAAAAAGAAAATACAATAATATTACAGTTTAGAAAGTAATGTAGACCATTCTACCTTCCTCATCCCATTCACAGATAAATCAGCTAAGCTGAACAGCCCTTCCCAAAAGTCCATGTAGAATGTCTGTTAGGAGAAAACAACATAATCAAAAAACAACAAACATCCCGACCATTACATGGAATGACTGTGAAGCATAAATGGAAGTAAAATAGAACTAACCCCAATAACCCCAAACACGAAGCACCAGCTAAAGGTGCATAAGCTCATCAACTAAAAGGTCCTCCAACCAAATCAACCATTCAACTGTGCTGGTGTATGAGCATATCCAATATAAGACGACCTAAACACTAGAAGAGGAAGAAAGAAGAACCTAAATCACCGCATCCCCTTAAAATTTGAAACAACACTAAAAATGAAAAACACCATAGAAAAGCATAAATCTACATGGCCCCTCCCTGACTGCAGAAGAGTTCTAACATAAACAATCAAGTAAATCTGCACGGAATCAAATGAAATCCAAAAGAAAATCATAATTAATGGTGTAAATATTTGACTTAATCATATAAAAGGAACTGCATACTTCCCACTGCTCACAACAGATGAGGCCTAGGAGCCAAAATCAGTATTCCACAGTTAACATCAATCTTGCCAAATAATAATAAGATCCTGAAACCTTGTAATACTAAAGTACACATAAAGTCACCAACATTAATAAAGCATCAGAGTTCAAGAATATTATGATAAATTATATGCCCCATCATAAGGAAAAAGCTCCAACAACAACCTTGAACAGATAGGCAAGTATCAACTCATCTCCTTCTACCACCACGCTCTCTTAATGTGAGAGAGAGCACCTCTCCTCCTCCAACGTTGTAATAAGCAAGTGACATATTATCCTTGAGAAACCCTGGTTTTCCACTCAATTTCTGTTTGTTGGCAGGGAGCTGGATCTCCCCAGCAATTTTCTCCTTCAGACTGCCAACTGTTTCAGACAGAGATTGCATAGTAATCTCCAGAACTTGTCCTCTGAGATTTCCTTCATCAACATTAGGAACTGATACACAGATACGAACTGGCCCCTGGTTGCACCAAAACAACGTCAGTCAGGATAAACGTCAACACAATTTTTGAAAAACTAAAAGCTAATTTATCATCATCATCATCATCATCATACAAACAGGTATCAAGATCCTTACCGGATGTTGAGCCAGAAACTGCTCTTCTGGGATTAGAGCACAATCATCAAGCTTCTGCTTCTTTGGCTCTGGTTCTTCTGGGAGCGGAGGAGGAGCTTCCTCAGGTGGCGGTGGGGGCGGCAATCCTTGAGGCAAAGGTGGTGGAGGCATCATAGGCATCCCAGGTGGAGGCATAGGAAGAGGGGCGTAAGGTCGAGGAACTGAAACAGGAGTGAATTGAGAACCCGGGGGTGGAGGAACAGGCATCCCTGGTCCATTCACAGCAACCGATGAAGGCAATGGAGGTTGCTGACTGGACATGAATGTTTGCTGCCCAGAAGACATTGGCATTGGATGAGGAGCTGGATGCATGGTTGGCATAATGGGAACTACTGAAGGTCTTGGAGGAGGAACTGGAAGACCACCACTGGTTGGGGCAGAATACTGAACTGTGGGAGGTGGAACGCGGGGAAGATTCAATGCCAGTCCAGGTGGTGGTGGAAGAGGACGAACTGAAGGCATACCAGGTCTAGGAGGAGGTGCGGCAGGGCCAGGAAGGTTCTTAGCTTCATTATTGGCGACACTATTTTGATCCTCGCCGCCAAAACTCTGTGACATGGCTTGGTTTGCAGTTCGTCCTATGCTACCAGTGTGACCATCCCATATAACCTGCTTAGGCTGCTCATCTTTCTTCTTCTCAATTTCTGCCTTCACAGCATTGGAGACCTCTTCTTCAGTAGTACCAAAGATATCAGGACGGGTCCGTGCAAGTCCAACAATGTTTCTTGAGATTTCATCATCCTGAGCCAGTGTTGTCTCACGAATTTTGGCAAACATCCTTTCTTTTTGTTCTTTGTACTTGGGATCAATGAGAGAAATTCGCATATGTTCAGACATTTCATTAATCGGAATTAGCTCACCAGTAATTGGGGAAACAACATACTTTGTTGGATCTCTTTCTGCAGGAATCCTTTCCTCTGGTCTTTTCCAGTTTTTCACAATCCTCATAGGTGGTTCAGGCTCCTCTGTAACATTAACTCCACCTTTCTTCCCATCATCATTGTCTTCCAAACTAGCTGCCCTCATGCCCTCTTCGACAAGCTGGGCCTCTTCCTCATCCATTTCCATTTCAACTTCCTTTTCAGGTTCAACTATATCTTCTTCCATGGGTGAAACCTTGCTTCTCCTTATAACCTCCTCAAGGGTCATTGGGGGAGGCAGCTCCTTATCCTCATCATCAGCAAAATCTATTGTTTCAACCACTACAAAATCATGCCAATCTATCATTGCCATTTGCATTCTTTCCTGCTCTATTTCATCCTCAGCCTTTTGCCGAGCTTGCTCCTGTGAGCGCTCCCATTCCAGCCTGTTCACACACCGTTCAAGGACAGTAGTCATGTCAGAAACACTTCTCCTCAGCTTCTCCGTCAACCCCTTCGGAGGCATCAAAACCTTGGAATATGCATCCGCAAGAGAGGTGAAAAATGTAAACATGCTGTGGGTCGGTTTCAAGAAATGGAATTGAGGGTTATTGACCTCCCTACTGGTCAACCCAGTCAAAAATGATTTTCCATTTCGAGCCACAAATTGTGCTGTGAGCTTTATGATATCCAGCTCTTCCCCTGTAATGCCTTCAGGAAGCCGAACTGTATACTGCTCAGCTTCAGGGGGTTCAAGTACTTTCCTTACAGGCTTAAACTGAGAAGAGAGCTCGGGCTTTGTTGCTGCTGCAGCAGCAGCTGCTGCATCATTACTGTCAGAGGCCGGTGCAGATAAGGTCGATTCAGACAAAGCCGAATCTACAGGTTGCGAAGGAGATTGCAGGGTAGAAGATTGGTTTTGGGCACGAAATTCTGCCAGCCGATGTTGATAATATGCATGATATGGATCCGATGAATTCAGAAAATTGAACTTAACATTGCCTGTGTTATTTGCAATGATCCTTTTCTCAAATTCTGGCCCATTTTTAGCAACGAACTGGGCTGTTTTATCGACAATAGTTCTAATGTCAGGAGGGGGATGTATAATTCCGATAGTTCTAGTGTGTGTAGCAACTGACGTCGAATTCGATTTGTTCTGCTCCTCCTTAGACAACTTCTCATCCTCCCTCTCCTCAGACACTTGCGACTCAGGAAGAGGACCTAGGTTTCCATCAGAAGGAGGAGCAGGAAGAGGCAATATCGGTAATGAACCCAACATTAGGTCATACAGCTAGGCGCTAACTATCGAAACCAACCTGCAAACTGAAATGGAACAAGAAAACCGATCAAAGTAAAATCCAAACAAAAATCAAACTGAAGAATAACGAGACAACGAATCGGTGAGACCAGCAAATCAACAAACATGGAAATTATATTTATCACAAAGGAAGGGGAATAAAACCTCAAGGAACAACAACGAGAGACGGGGAAGAGTGTCAAGGAGAACCACCGACGTTTACGCTTTCGCCTTCACGGCGGCCAAGCCACGGTAGTGGGGGGCACGGAAGATTGAGAGGCAGTCGAATTGAAGAAGAAAAATGAAGTGAAAAGAACGAGAGCGAAACGGGAATTAGGGATTTATAATGAAAAGAGGCAAGCGGGCACGGTCAGGGGACCGACCTCAGTAAATGGGCTGGGCATATCGGGTCGGGTAAACAGCCAGTACCAAACAATGGTTGTTTCGGATTTTATTCGGTCCGGCAAGGTCAGATCTTTTTTTTTTTTTAATTCGAGGCTACAGTATAACAGTACAAAAGAGACAAAAATTATCCTGGAGTCTCACTCAAAAATTATTGTGGATGCTCTTCGTTCACAACTTGATTCACATTCTGGTTATAGCCTTGTTATCTTGGAGATCATGAAGTTGCTTAACTGTCACTGGGATATCAGACTCCAACATATTTCATGTGTTCAAAATGCAGTTGCAAATGGATTAGCTAAAGAGGCTTTAACTGTTTCTTCCTTAGATTGTGCCCCTCCTTATATTAGGGCCTTGGTTCAAAATGACTACTGTATGGGAATTGAATTCCCCTTCTTTTTAAATTAATGCATTGGGCTCTGCCCTCGTTTCTACTAAAAAAAAAAAAATAGAGAGACAAAAATCAAATCATGGCTAAAATTATAAGGATTTTACATTCAGGTTGGGGATTATCAAAAATCTTAATGTTGATGTTATCCCAAGATGGCTGGTAGGCAAGCAAGTTGGCGTATCCATTAGCTTTCTATAAACATAGTCGAAAGTGATTATCCGGTCCTTTACTGTGAGATCTCTAATTTTTTTAATAATTTCATAGAGTAGGTGTCTTTTAGAGTACTTATGCTCGATGGGTGATGAAGCTTCCATTGAATTAGAGTTAACATTGACTTTATAGAGTTTATTATTCCAACAAAGATTGAGCCCTTTAAAAATCTCCATGAGCTTGGTTGTCGTGTTAGAGTAATAGCTCAGGTATTTGAAAAATCTTTTAATTTAATTGTCTTTCTTGTCCTTGATGATACCTCCACAGGTGATAACACTATTAATGTTGATAGAGCCATTTATGTGAAGCCTAACCCAACCACATGCTGAAGGGCTTCATTTAGCTTAATATCTAGCATTACTTTTGCTCAAGTGGTTGATCTTAGATTGAAGCCTTAGGTCTTTGATTATTTGTTACATGCTAGGAAAGGCAATGTCATTTTTCTGGATGTCATTTTTTGAGTAGATTTTCTTACATCTTGATTTCTATATGTTGCAACATGCAGGTGCAAAAAGTTTCTACTAATGCATTCTTCGTGTATTCAAGCTACCAGCTTCATTTTTAGCATTCCAAGTTATTTAATCCGACACACAAAAAAAAAAGTATTAAGCTTGATAAGATTGATTAATTTTTTCTAAACACCGTAGGGTTTTCTTACAATTCCGTAAGATATGAATAGAAAAGCCAATAGAGCTACAACCAAAAGGTCATGCACACTATTAGGGAGAATTTCCATTACTATGCATGTGGTTGGTTTGTAGCCAATCCCAAGTAGTTTTTTCAAGGAAATATTTAATTTTTTTTGTAAGTAGGGCACTTCCAAAATTTTGACCAGATTTTAAAGTAGTTTTGGTCCCTTTGGTTCTTCATAGTTCTGTAACCAGATTTGATAGAGAAATTACTATTAAAGGAAGGTCTTCAATAAATAATATCATTACCATCCTAAGGATTAGGAGGTTAAACCAGAGCAATATATTTAATCACATCAAACTAGAGGTAGTGGCTTAAGAAATCAAAATTCCATCCTCGTGCGGTTGTACGAAAGGTCGGATCTTTTTGAGTTGGCTAGAACTACAAAGCACCATGTTTGTCATGGAAAATTTTTAGTTTTTATACACACACAAATATATATATATATATATATATATATATATATTAAGTATTTTCTCCATTTTTAAATAAAAAAATTTTATTCATATTAAAATTTAGTGTTTTTGTTTATTTTGATACTATATGTATTTAATTTGATCACTTTGGCTTATTGCTAATATATTTCTCATCGAGTTACTTCATAAATTAATCTTTTATGTGCGCGTCATTTTTACAGTTCTTTCTCAAATGCAAGTAATGTTGTAGCATAGTTTTGAAAAATCTTATTGAGTTATTTCTATGGTTTTGAGCATGGATCCTCTCAAGTTGAAAATTACAAATTTAAGTGAACTTCATTTATCTTAGCAAATAAGTGGGAGAATTTTTTTTAAAGAAAAGAATATTATCTCTCTTTTTTTTATTTAACTTTTTGACTTGAATTTACCATTCTTAACTTCCAAAATTGATGCTCATTTTTATTAATTAAAAAGATGATTATTTCTCACATTTTCTTTATTTTTAAAGAAAACATAACTTTTAATCTCTACATTTTACTTATATTTTACTATAAATCCTTGTATTTTTTTTTGATATTATAAGTCTTTACACTTTCATTTTTCAATATTCTAAATCTCTTCACTTTGTTCATTTAGAGACCTAAAATACTAAAAAATGAAAGTGTATGGACCTAGCACACAGAAAAAAGTACAAGAACCTCTAGCAAAACACGAGCAAAGTATAGAGATCAAAAGTTTTGTTTTTCCTTATTTTTATAATATAGATCACATAATTCCTGATTTTATTTTATTTGTTTAGTCTCGTTTGATTTGATTCAAAATAAACTTTGGTTGATAGATGTCATTGCACACGTCCATGTAAAGTCAAAATTTTGATATCAATCATGTAGCTATAATCGTCCTTAAAGATCATCCATCAATCACAATGTGCACACCAATCTTACCTTTGAGAAGAAACATAACAAAATGAAGAGGGGGAAAGCACTCAAATTTACAGAGGCCTTTTAGTAAGCTATTAATAGCACAACGCTCTATATTGTGACACTTCCAAGAGGACGTATGCATGGGCTAGAACCAGAACATTCCCTGCAAAACAGAGAAATATATAGCATCAATCCTAACATAAAATATCTTCTATTAATCCTTTCTCGTCTGGTTTCTTTCTTTTCTTTTCTTTTCTTTTCTTTTTTTTTCAAGGTTTGAGAAGTCAGTAGACCAATACAATACAGCAATAGAGACACACATTTTCAGTTGACGAACACATTCAAACCAAATATCTCTGAATGGCATGACTTCTATTTTTTTTTTTTTTTGGGTGGACTGTTGCATTCAGCACAAAGGCTTTCAGCTGATACCATTCCATCGCCACAAAAATTCAATTGAAGCCATTGTAAAATGCTATCCATTGATCTGCACTTAAAAACTTGAAACTTTTCAAGCGATCCTTAATTGAAACCTCTAAAAATTTGGTTTAGAGCTCACAGCAATACACACACACTTCAAGTCCAAAGGATTTTCTTGTGAGATAGTGTGCTATAATAAAGCTATTTATGGACTTCCAATTAGGATCTTTAGTTTTTGTGTTGACCTTGTTATTGATGTGAGAAAAAGGCAAGTGTTTTTTGGTTAAAAAAAAGAAAGCCCAATATGAATATACCTCATCCATCTTAGATTCTCTTTAAGTCCGTCTATGCTGCTTCTTGTGAAAGAAGTGCAACTTCAATTTCTTGGAGTGACTTTCCTTTCGTTTCCACAACATTTCTCTTCACAAATATCACTGTCGCCAGACAGAATGCACCAAATATAGTATACAGGAGTTGTGCTCCAAGTTGTTCCAGTAAGCGCAAAAATAGCAGACCAACAAAGAAATTGATCATCTGTTCAAGAAAAATGCATCACCAATGTCAGTGAACTTGGTTCCGCTGGACAAGAAAGTGAACTGGGGATAGAGAAGAGAAAGAAGAAAGAACATAATACGAGTCCAAATCACCACAACTTCTTTGATACATACACATTTTAGTCGACGTAAAGCCAGATAAATGTAGAAAAAGATGTCAGCATGTTCTACTAAGAAAGTATACAATTTCCCTAACACATTTTATTTTCCACCACCATACTTGCATGAGCCATGAAACTAATACATGAGCCATGAAATTCAAACAGAACTATACATGTCACAAAGGGATTATCAAGACTCAAATTAATAACCATCTCAACATCCATACAGTGATATACAGCGTTAGATTACCAATTATCTGATACATATGCTTAGCTCACAGACACAAAGGAACCATAAAAAATTTAAAACACTCCCAGGAATAATGTCAGTGGAAGTTAGTTTAGAAACTCTCCTATTATAAACATGGCTAGCGGATCAATCCAAATTGAATATGGTAAAGGAAAATGCAGCAAGGGGAAACATTATAAAGCAGATTCTAATCTCGTGAGATTGTAGAACAAAGTCAACAGTTGTCAAAAGAAAAAAATAGAAATAGAAACAATGACCAATTGTCCCCTAAAAGCATTAACCAGGAACAAATTCAAAAGAATTACCCAATGTACAGCTAAGCAAATTGCCAATGCCTTTGCCCTGATCCTGCTAGGTAGTATTTCTGATAGGAGAAGACAAGGTACGGGACCAGCACCCATGGCAAATGTGAAGACAAACCTGCATTATCCATTCCACTTTTAGCAACCCTATCATGAAAAATGATTTTCTAAGAGTTTGAATAGATATTTATTTATTTTAGTATATTACACTTCGGCCTTGTAACATCCCAAAAATTTTAAGACTCAAATTTAGTTTTAAAAAAATAAAATAAAATATCTATAATTAAATTAAAATTTAGAATAATTTGATAGAGGTCCAGAATTTGAATTTTTCTCAACAAAAGTTTGGTTTTATTTGATTTTTAACTATGAGAAAAATTACCAAAGTTGACCTGGGCTTTTGTGCTATAATAAAAAATGTTGGGCCATTTCTTGTAATTTTCCCCAAAGTCTTATATCAGCCTTTTTAAGGGGAAAACAGACGCAGAAAACATAGAAATGAAACAAGAAAAAGAAAGGAAACGCGTGAGAGAGAGAGAGGAAGAAGAAAGGAGAAAGAGAGGGAGTTAGGCTCAGATCTAGGAGGCTCTGCGGCCGTTGCGACCTCGACTACGCGATAGGTAAACTCCATACTTCAATCCTCTTTCCTTCTTCTTTGTTTTTCTCAATTTTTGGAAGAGAAAATTTGTGAATTTTGATCCCAAAGGCTTTATTCTTGTAAGCTTTTGTTTCTTTGGATCCTAGGGAGACTGTTTTGAGTTTCTGTATAGTGATCTAATATTTTGAGTGGATAATTGGATGAAAAGAGGTGTTTTGGGCACGAATTAAACCCTGAGAGATTGGGTTTTGCTCCTCAATGGTTTAAGCTTATTGATTTAGTTATAATTTTGCTATTTGAGCCCAAAAAGATTTAAATTAAGGTTTGGTTTTCATTATAAGGGCTAATGGTAAAAGTTGGTGACACTAAGTGAATGTTTTTAATTGATTAAAAATTATATAAATTGGAAATTAGCCTAGTGATGGTTAATAAATGGTTTTGGTGGTTAAGTGATACTATGTGAATGGTTCGTTTAATATATGGACCATTGGGATGGATTATGGCTCATAGACCCAAGTTATGTGGTATGAGTTATAGTCTTTATTAATGCTATTTGACATGATAAGGGATGTGGATTACTTATATGTTGTAGGAATTGTTGGTGGAATTTGTTCGGAAGTTAAGGAATAAGCCGAGCCCTATTTTGTACAAGAGGAACCCTTTTGGTACCAAAGGATTAAGGTAACAGGGAAATTTATATTTCTTATTACTTTGTTTTAGCTATTTTTGAATAAATATTATTAGCTATCATGCATTACATATTTTAAAAGATTAAATGTGCTTTATAAGGGGTTATGAGGTACTACTTTGATTATAGTGCAAATATATTTTCTAATTGTTTAACAATGTTTTTATGGAAATGAGATTTGTTTACATGTATTTTAATCATAAGGAATAGAAGTTGCACTTAATGAAGTGTAACTAAGTAAGGTACCTTAAATAGGCTAAAGAATCGTTTAAGGGATATTTATAAATGTTATACTACCTTAGAGTGTTGAAGTGGTCAATACTCGGAAAAGGTAGACACGAATAAAAGGCATGATTTCGGTGGGAGTTCACCAATGAGAAGGTGTGGACTTTTGATATTCCATGGCACACTGCCAGTACTCAATATTGCCTTACGTATTATGGGCTCAGTGCATTAAAGTGGTTAGTGTATTGAGTATTCGACACCTCTTAGTGGGGGAGGGAATCCGACATATGAAGTGTGAGGTTGAGTGCTTAGGCCAAGGTAGCCCTCACATGAAGAGTAAGTCGGGCTGGCTCTGGGAGAGAGTTAGCTTTGACTGCTCAGGATTCACGTCGAAGGGGCATAGGCAGTTCGGTAGATTAGATCATGCTTTAGATTATGTTTTGTGCCTGTGAAGGTACAAGTAGGTATAAGGTTTACCCGCGAGTTAAAGAGTGCCAGGGGGCATTCTGTTAGTCATAAAAGGCCATACCGACCTAGATCATGCATTCATGCATTTTAAATGGCTAAATTATACTATGTTGAATTTATTATTCATTTATTCGATTATGGCTTGCTTTGTAATAATCAATGTAGATTTCTCTGTTACTGAGACTGTGGTTATCTCACCCCTTTCTTTTCAATATTCTAGGTCCAAGCGAAGGAATCAATGGAGGACAGGGAAAGGAGCAGAGCTAGGGGTTGTTTGTGAATTGTAAAGAACTGCAACCCTTTTCTTTTGAGCAAATCTATTGTAATGTATTTAGGATTAGGGTGCCAGTAGGATATGCTCATGTATATGTGCGTGAGTATGTGTGGATTGTATGGCTTGTGTATGAATTTTTGTCTGCTTGTAGACTTGTAGCTAGAAAACTTGGCTATGGTGTGTGGTTTTGATAGATTTATTTAGTAGACCAAGTTTTCACTACAAGCAAATGTTTATTTTGATATATATGTGATTCCACAAGCAAATGCAAAATGGTTGCATTGCAAATGATGTGTTATGGGTAAACATATACCTTGGACAGAGAGAGTGGGTGCGTGGGCCCCACAGAGATCTTTGAGCCAAGTGAAAATGTTTAGCGTGTATATTCATATGTGTATATGATATTTGGAATAGTTTTTGGCCACTCTTGTGTGATTTGTGCATTTTGGGGGTTTAGGGTTCATTTTGGGAAATAGCACCCAAGTGGTCAAATTTTGGAATAAAGGGTTTTTCTACCATTTAAATGTTCTATTAGGTGTTTTTAGTCCTATTTGATGTGTCCAAAGTATTCCCACAAGTTTGTGACCATTAGGATGAGATTTGGACAATTTTGAAAATGATTTTTACCAAAAACCTGCACTTTTGCATCCGGGTGTCCAAATCTTAATCCGACCGTTGGATTTTTCTAAAATTTGAGTCACAAGTAAAATCTTTTATAAGCTTCGTGTGGGTTTTGGAATCACTTTGATCGGATATCGGACAGAGAACGGCGCACTCCAAAATTTGGTCCGGAGGAACTGTCATGGCAGCAAAGGTGCTATGACAGCAACATATGTTAATGTTGAAACATGCACGAAATTTAATCCATCCATTGGATCTTTCCAAAATTTGGTATGCTAATAGTACTATTTAAAAGTGACATGTGGGCTTTGGAATCGCTCCGATCGGAAGTCTGATGATGAAATGGTGCACCCCAAAAGTTTGTCCGGAGGTGCTGTGACAGCAAAAATAGCCAATCTTTTAACATGTCTAATTTTTAATCCGACCGTTATATCTTTTTAAAATTTGGTACACTTATAGTACCCTTTGAATGTGACGTGTGAGTTTTAAAATCACTTCGATCGGCGGTCGAATAATGGAACGGCGCCTCCCGGAAGTTGGCCCTAAATTACTGTCATGACAGCATCTTTTTATTATACTTTTGTCTAGCTTGCTTCCGTGCGCTATAGGTAGAACCAATAATTTTTTTTTAAGGTTTTAAATGATTTATTTCTTAAGTTGGTTAGAGGATCAACTCCTTAACCACACTTAGTTTATTTGAATTATGTGATTTTTGAATAGCACTCGAGGCAAATATTACATTTGTTAGAGGATCAACTCCTTAACCACACATAATTTATTTGAATTATGTGATTTTTGGATAACACTCGGGGCAAGTGTTACAGGCCTTACAAGAGATGTCCAAATTACATGTTCCTCCCCTTCATTTGAAAATTTACATTCCCTTCCCATAACTGTGCTCGTTCTGACCAAAATACTCTTAAATCTATTATCTGTTATTCATATAAAATAACAAGCATTAAAATACATATTTGAAAAACATAAACTATGTTCTAAAATAAAACAAATTACATGTACTGTCTTCCCCTCTGACAAACTATGACTATTTTGTTATTTGCTTGACTTTAGTCTGAGTTTAGTATTATTCAAAAAAATAAAAAATAGTTGTCAGCACAAAGTTAATCACTGAAAAGAATTGAAAGATATATCTTTTCATGCTAATTTTTCAATAAAAGAATGTATATCAGAAGGAAAAGGCTGTAATTTAAACATTTCTCAAGGGAAAGGAGAGTAATTACACTATCCTTTTCAATTGTTTCTGAAAATAATTTGTAGAGATCTTATAGGAAATTGGTGGCATAAAGAGGTAATATTTTAGATTCACACGCAGAATGCAGACATCCGTGCAGCAACCCCTTTCAGGTTAAAGAATAAGAACTGTTTCTATCATTAACACAAGCTCACATTAGATGGGTTGCCCTATGCTTCTTCACCTTGTATCAAGCAAGAGATTAATTATATACTTACCGCTTACTAATACACACAATCAATTACTTATCCCATGAATAGGAAATCAATTTTCATCTTGCTGCCATTATGTTTTCCTGTTGCTCTTTTTCATTTTTTTTAATTTAACGTATGATTTCTGAAGATTGATTTACTCTTTTTTACTGCACAATTAGAGGTAAAGTTTTCTGATCACTCACGTCAACATGCCACCAACAGATAAATACATTGCTTCAGACCCTGATGCCAAAGAACTTGCAGCAATAACCTGGAGACCCATTGACACCGCCTAAACCAACAAAAAGAGTAAGGTCAGATGATATGGTTCTCATGACCTAAAGTCAAATTATATGGGAAAATTAACACTCGGAGATGAATAAAACTTGGTAATAGTATAATATGCATGAGCCAGAAAATTATAATAAAATTATACTAATATTCAATTTTTGAAAATATAGTTTCAGCAATATTCTGATATCCAGTTTTGTTGCCATACCATGCCCAGAAAGCTCCCCAGGAGAAGCGCTTTCCTTCCAAGTTTATCCATTAGAATCATTGCAAGAACTGACCCTAAAGTTACAGACAACATGGTTAGTCAAATACAACAATAATCAACAACAACAACAACAAGCCTTATCTCACTAGGTGAAATACAACAATTACCATGAAAGTAGTGAAAGTACTTTGGACTAAAACAAATACATACCCAGTAAATTGCAAATTCCTACGCATGTGTTTGCAAGACCAGATGGAATACCAAAGGTTTTAAAGACCGTCGAAGAGAAATAAAAAATGGCATTTATGCCAGATAGCTGCTGTAAAGCAAAAAGCGTAGATCCAATGAACATCACTGCAAAAGCATAACTCATTAACTATCAAGCAATTATCTATAAGAAACCATGTTGTACAAACAAACTAAAAAAAAAAAATAAATAAAATAAAATATGTACCTTTGGAATGACGGCCATAGAGTAATTCTGAAAATTTCACCTTATCAGTCTCATCATCTCTGCCAGTCCTTAACAGTTCGGTCATTGCAGGTTTCACGTGTATCCCTCCCAAGAGCTTCTCAAATTCTACTTCAGCCTCATTGCTTCTTCCCCTCTGAACAAATTCAAAAAATTATAAGTGCCAGGATAGACAAATAACCTTAACCAATCAAATAAATAAGAAGTACATATGGAAAAAAATAAAGCCAAAAGGGATGTGCCTGCCATGGTAGTCCTGCTAGCCCAATAATGTTCTAAAACGAGATATCAATAATGTTTATTGAATATTTAATTTGTTTAGGGGGTGTTAAACATACTGAGAGTGCAAAGTTATGAAAAGAGATGCAAGGAGAGAGAATCTCATTCTTTTGCATGATCAAAGGTAATAATGCCTTCGAACAACATCATATCAAGATGTATATATTTTTAAACGGAAAGGGATAATATCATTACAAACTTAAAAAAAGTACAAAGACAAGCAGACAGTAATAAGATATTTCATCAACTACCATTGCCAGACCCAGAAGGGTGGTTTTTTTTTTTTTTTTATCAAAGAAATAAATATCACTATCTAATTCATCACTAGTCCTTGCGAGGCTATGAGCTATACAATGGCTTCTATATACATGAAGCTAACAGATATGCTCCAATTCCAACACAGCAAAAGTTTTGTCTCATATATGATGTTATGAAATGGATTATTGAAACTCTGATCCCATGTAATTAAGGTTATCGCAGCACAGTCACAAATCAAAATATTCTCCACAGATAAAATAAACAACAACAACAACAAGTTTTATCTTATTAAGTAAAGTTCATTACATTGACCACACAATACTATTGTACTCTATCAACAATTAACTTCCCATAGATCCAGCAATTATGACTGATTGTGTCACCACCTCTCCCTCTGAAGCTATCTGTCTAATCTATCCAGGCAATATACTTGATAAATCTCATGCTTAAACATCTATAAGCAGTGATGAGGACCAAAATTTTATACTTCATTTCACTCAATCAATGATACCCCCTATAAGGATCAAATAATATACATTAAAGCATGTTGTGATGGCCAAGTTTGTGCAGAACTTAAGTTATGTATAAATTAAATGAGTAGATAACCTTATAAAGCCAATGAGGACTCTCAGCACAGAACTCCATGAAAAAGGCCAGTATTGCAGCAGGAATGGCAGATACCCAGAAACAAATCCGCCACCTGATCATATCACATAATTACCTTTAAAAAATACAGCTTCAAATCAAGGAAATTAAGAAAACACAGATTAATTGATAACTCTACAGTAAAAATATATCCATAAGATCTTCAAACACACACATCCATCAGCTTCAGTTAGTCCATTTAACATTCCATACCAACCCACTAATTCTTTGGATGGGAATCCAATAAATAGAGCGCCCATAAGTCCAAAACATGTTGCGATTTGAGTTATGCTACCAAAAGCACCCCTTACAGCTGTGGGTGACACCTATAAATTGCAATAGGATTCATGGTAAGTATTTGGCCCAAAAATAAATTTAAAAAGATCTTTACAATTGAAAAATAATGCGATCTCATAATGTAGATAAAGAAAATTTTGATGCTATCATCGTTTATATATACCTCAGCCACGTAAAGAGCTGTAACAGGTGGGCCGAGTCCCATTCCAGTGCCAACAAATAACCTTCCCAAAAGCATACCCCACAGGCTTTTTGTTGTTGCACTGCAGTATGAATTCATTAGTTTGTAGCTTTATAACTTATTCAATATAGAAGGACAGCTTGGAGTAAGAAGGCATTAATTTGGACAGCTCTAAGCAAGAGAACTTTAAGACATATATGAGAAAGAGTACATTTGAATAGAGAATTCCTACTATTTCATGACAATGATTATTAAAAACAACATGAAAAACAAAATTTGCAGATAGACAAAGAAGTGCTCAGCTTGAATGCAGAGACAATCTGGACAAAGCTTGCGTCAACTAAAAAGTAAATGGAGCTAAATTCAATGATCACCCAATTTTTCACTGAGCAAAAACAAGTAAATTAAGGGGGGGTTTGAAAAGGAGGCTTGAGTGTATTTAATGTTAATAAGAATTATGCAATGCAGGAAGATGAAAGGGGGAGAGATAAGGAAGCAGAGAGGGAGAGACAGAAGAACAAGAGGGAGAGGAGGCTTAGCTCTCTGAATAATATCGCAGCAAGCAAAATGCAATTACAATCATCAAAAGAAGTCTCTTTCCAAAATGCATTGAGCTACATATAAGAACGCATTTGCCAATGCTTCCTTCTCAGGCAGGAAACAATCCAGTTGCCCTGTCAACTAAATAAACTAAACATACAAAAAGTAATTAAAACATGATGTAAATCAATTTCCTTCTATAGTAAGTCTT